TTATTAAAAAAAAAAGTGACATTGTGTCACATTTTCAATTTACACAGTATTTTTTACTTTCTAAAAATATTTCATATGATTTTTTAAAACATCCCTAATTTTAAGAACATTTTTGTTAAGTACCCCATTTTTTAATGGGTCAATTATACGAGTCCCATATGATGGAAACAATCCAAATTTCTATTAAATTGTCATGTGGCCATCAAATGTCTAACATTATGAAGCACTATTTTCTTTCTAACGTGGGCTACTGTCCCAAAAATTTGAAGTGAGGCATGTTTTTAAGTGGGCCATGTGATCAATTGTCGAAGATTTGGACCACTTGCTCCGTTTGTGACCGAGTATGTAATAATAATGAAAGGTTCGGCACCAACCATTGGAAATCAACTTGCTACTCGGACTATAGGTTCGCTACCAATGGTACAGTTTTTAGATACAAAATTAGCATATATATCGATACGCATCTTACTTTATGATACTATTTTTCTGGTGCTTTTGTTAATCTTGATGGGAAAAATAAGTCTGAAGATTCGTCCTAAGCATCCTCTACTGCCAAAAGATCTCAAGATGCAGCTGTCGGTGTCCTTGTTCACATGCTACAAACAGCTCCTCCTCTGCGCCCAACTAGTTCTTATATCAGTCAATCCTCTAAGAATGAAGTCGAGAGAGAAGTTGGAACTGCTTCTGAATTTTTCAAGCCTCGAGATACAACTGATGCACTCGAGGAACTCAAGGCTTACAAAGAAATGAGAGATCAGCTAGTTTCCAGGAGCGCAGCTCGTACTTCCATCAAAGAAAAAGATTAGGAGCACAATCAGCTATGCTTAAAAGTAACTTTTAAAGTTACCTTTTTGTGGAAGTACCCCATTTTTTAATGGGTCAATTAATCCTAACGGTCAGGGCTAAATTTTTTTTTTTTTATGGGGTACTTACAAAAATACCCTTAAAAATAGGGATGTTTTGAAAAATCATATGAAATGTTTTTAAAAAGTAAAAAATACTGTGTAAAATAAAAAAGTGACACAATGTCAAAAAAAAGTGACACAAAACTCAAA